TAAATTATATTACTTAGTTAGAATAGAATAGATATACTAGACCCGGATAACTAATTCAAACATATCAGTTATGACATTCAAAGCTATTGTATTTACTGGATAAAAATACCTGTCTGACATCCGGGAGGATACGCAAAAGGTGAAAGTGAAGTACAATATCCCATGTGTTTTATATATATATTGTCATCTCGGAAATGTAAACAAAGAGGATTGAATTTTCTTAATGTTGCTCACTTTCTCTCTCTCTTTCTCTTTCTCTCTCTCTCTCTCTCTCTCTCTCTCTCTCTCTCTCTCTCTCTCTCTTTTTTTCTCTCTCTCTCTCTCTCTCTCTCTCTCTCTCTCTCTCTCTCTCTCTCTCTCTCTCTCTCTTTCTCTCTCTCTCTCTCTCTCTCTCTCTCTCTCTCTCTCTCTCTCTCTCTCTCTCTCTCTCTCTCTCTCTCTCTCTCTCTCTCTCTCCTCAATTGACCATAGCTTGCCTCGGGTCAAATTGAATTGGACGATTGACATCGCTGAACTTATTTAACCCTCGCCGGCCGAGGGGGGGAGCGGGTACCGCCCCCACAGGGTTTTTTTCGCGATAGCTCCAAAAACGCTGGCGATAGAGAGCTGAAACTTGGTATACCTGACCTTTGATTCAAGCCGAATCTTTTGACACCAACCGCTTTTTGGGTCAGGTCAGGTCACTGACCTATGACGTCATAAGTGAACCTTTGCACGGTCTTCAGATGTCGCAACTTCGCAACGCCCTCACTGCCAGAGGAGATGTCACAGGGAAATGAAACTTGTAGGATCTAGTATCCATCATGAGTGTCACAACTTGTATATCTCGGATTTTTCCTAAAGGTGATATGAGGTCAGGTCATTTTCGTGACCTCACCATTATAAGTCAATGGGGAAAAATGAAAACTGCTATTCTGGCGCCGGGAACGATCTCTAACTATCTCAAGCACACAGAATCGTGATTTGATACAATCCTTGCAAGGTTAGATGCGTCACTTTTGCAATATTGACCTTGCGTGACGTCATTTATGACGTCATCAAGGTCATATTAGTTTTTCGTCAATAACTCTTGATCAAATTGAGCTAGCGAGTCGGGAAAGCTACCAATGGACTCAGGAAGACCTGCCGAATCGAGAAATATGCGACATTACCTCTTTTGACCAACTTCGTGACCTGGGGGTGCTGACCTGACCTTGACCTGAGGTCAACACCCGAAATTGACCTGACCCGAACAAAAAGTATATCATTCGACGCGCTTGAGCGAGGCGAACACGATGCTGCCAAAATCGCGGCTCTGTGGCCGTTTTTTGCGAAGTTATTGACCAAAAGCTGAACCGTACCTTGGGGCACTTGACCTGACCTCAGAGGTCACCGGTTGACCTAGGACCTTAAAATCGGGTACCAATCTCTGCGTCTCGTAACGGCGCACACACTCGTTCTTTCCGCGACGCGCTAGCTCCACCAGGGGCGAAACAGCGAGGGGGGGTCGTACCCGCCCCCCCCCCCCCCCCTCGGCCGGCGCGTATGTAGAAAACCAATAGGTTCGGTGAAGGATAAAACAATACTTTGATCAGCAAATGCGGTTGTAAGATTACGCCGACGATTTATAATCATGGACCTTCCGTTGTGATCTGTCTTTTTTCTTTGAGAAGGATATGGATTGAAAGATATTGGCCAACAAATTTAGCGGACATAGGTAGTTTCCCTGTGGATAGCTTCCTGGAGCGGACATCCTTTTGAACATCTCAGACAGATTTCATCCCTTGCCCGGACATTCCCTCAGGCACACACACAGAAAAATATTAACACCGTTAGCGGTGTAATTGCACAGTACATATCTGAGCACTTGAGGAAAGTTAATTTAGTCCCTTCCCCGCTTAAATTACTCGCGCTTCCAAATGAACACCAGGAAGAAGGTAATAGAACACTGTTAGGAGGGTTGGGTGTTTTGCTACATGTAGTAAAACAACCAACCCTCCTAACAGTGTTCTATTACCTTCTTCCTGGTGTTCATTTGGAAGCGCGAGTAATTTAAGCGGGGAAGGGACTAAATTAACTTTCCTCAAGTGCTCAGATATGTACTGTGCAATTACACCGCTAACGGTGTCAATATTTTTCTGTGTGCAGGCTGTAAGCTGGCTGATCGACTAGACCGCCTTGTCTCGGGTGACTGACTATTGTGACCGGGCAGCGCGGGCAGAATGCACCGGTCATGGATCGCCCTGTTGTCTCCCCCCCCCCCCGCATGCCCCTCTCACTCAGGACCACCCCAATCCAAACAGCGTCGAGTGGTGTTCGCAGTTCAAACGTTTGCCCAGTGGCACCGGCGCGGCGGCGGCGGTCGTGGCGCAAACATGCCGCACCGCGCGACAAACGTGGCGCACGACACCGCAAACAAGCCTCCCGCGGGGCAGCCATCAGTCACGGAGACAGCATTCCGGGCTCCCGTGCTGCTGGGACGCTTCCTGAGTCCTGACCTGGGCCACCATTTCCGTGTGGGTCACTCACGGGCATCTCTCTCTCTCCTCTAGCTGCAGGCTCGGAACAGGAAGTCTGGCTCCACAACAGGTTGTAACGTATTAGTTATTAATGTTATTAGCACCGCGCCAGGCAGCCAGGCCTCAAAACAAATCAGCTAAAATTGCATAGCAGCAGCCCTCAGTTTGCACAGAGGGTGAGGCATTCTTTTTAGCTCCCCTCCCCTCTCCCGGAACTGTTGTGTGCGTTATTCTGGTGTGTTCCTCTCGTCCCCGCCCCCTCTTCATAGCGGTTGTTTGCCCCTCCCCCCCCCCCCCTGGGAGCGGTCGCTGGGACAGGGCGGCGACATTCATACCGGCAACAATCGGTCGACGATGAGCGATCACTCTGAGCCTGACGGAGCGGAAGGAGCGCTGCTCGCGATGTGATGGACGCCGGCGACCCGCTCGCCCTCGACGACGGGCGAGCGACAGATGCAGCGCGCCGGCGGCGCCCAGACATGACGCGCGTCTGCCCCTCCGGCCCGCCGCCGACTTGACACGATCATCGAGGCGAAACGCGACCCGAATTTATGGCACAGCTTGGGGTACGACCAGCCTCACTTGGCCGACAATTGATGGCACGCGTTTTACTTGTAAGATGGATTGGAATATTATTCGGAAATAATGTAGCGACATTATTTCACAGCGTACATGATTTCTCACAAGATGGGCAAGGAGAATACTCTGATGGATCCGACTTCCGAGGGCCAGCATGATGCAGCACCTTCAATCATGGCCCCGAAAACCAAAGACACGTTGACTAAACTCGCTGGGATTGGTTTGCATGACGCATGAGCCATAGCATGACATGCTCAGTTGTTTAGCTGTCCATGGCCAGGCTGATTCAATGCGCTTGCTCAAGAAAGTCGATAAGTGTTCTGGTATTGCACTTTTAACACTTCACCGCAACATACTTTTTTATTCTAATCTATACCATCAGAATCTTCTTTTTGCTTTCGCATTTTTAGAAAAAGTTTGTCTCCTATTTTATTTCGTCAACGTTTGATTTTCATTTGATTTCAGTTTTAATATAGGTAAAAGAACAGCTTATGCCACCCCATCGAGCCTCCTCCCTTGGCTGCCTCAGCCCCCAGTCAGGCCTGCAGCCATTTCAGCCCTCAGAGAAGCGGCGGAGTCGGAACAAAGAGACCACGGCACGGGCTTGTGGCGCTTACACCAGCTTAATTCATGTTAGTCACACAGTTAGGTCATTAGCGAGATTTTTAATGAAGTCCACCACTTTATTAAACAGAATAATATGTGAGCGCATAGTGCCGTTAATTAGGGCGTCGGAATTGTGTACTCCTGAGCAGCGACCGCACAAATGAACCACGGTGCTGTTATGGTGGGCTTAACTTCATTATACTGTACAGTGAACTGGGATAACAACGCTTCCAACGAGCCCTGAAGCGACAGATGCGGAGCCGGACGCTGTCTTTAAACTGAAGTAAGGTCGTCTGACTCAGTGTGTGTGCGTGTGTGTGTGTGACTTGGTATGTTTCGGTTGGATGACTAATTGTTTTGTACACATCTGGTATCTACCCTATTCTCTGACTCGGAGCTTGAAAAGCCACTGTTGCTGTGGAGTGCTCTTCAAAATAAATACAAATACAAATACAAATACAAATACAACACTTTACACAATGCATATACCTACATTTCACTTCTAATTTATACAACAAAATAACTTCTTTTACAACAAGCGAGAATATCAATGTCTAGGCAGCGTGTTGCTGTTTATGAATCTCTAAGGCAAACATGTTGTTGAAGGCTCGGGAATTATTTGTGCACTAGGTAAAACGGATAAACCTATACATTAACTACTGACCTGACTGACCTAACTGACCTAACTGATCTGACCGACCTGACCGACTTACTGACCTAACTGACTTACTGACGCAATTTATTAATTAATGATTGATTGACCAAATAATTAGCAAATGCGAGGAAGCCGTGCATGCATAAGTGCCCAAGCTCTCAGATCTGTAGTCGATGGAGTGCAAAGTGTGGCACTGTGAATATTTACGTACATACTCCTCCATTCTACTTATTTGTCACCTTAGTCATGTATTTTTATTTGTTTGTCAGCCAAATTAAACTGCCATGCATTTTTTACTACACATACATTTTTACTTTTTTTTGCTACTTAATCACAGATGTTATTTTCATTTCCCTATGCGGATGTAGAGATATGATCACCCAGGATTGTGCTTTATACATCCTTGACCTTTGGCCCTGATACGAACGCGGTCTGATAGAAGTATGATCTTCAACTATTGCATCCGATTCCGAACCGGATCAAGGTTTTTTGCCATTCTTAGATGGCATCGCCGCTAAGTAGGTAATGCTCCCTCCCAGAAGTTAGTTGGTGTTCCGAATCGGTTTCTGCAGCGGCCAACGACTCGGTGCTTCCCTCTGGTGAGCTGCTGAGGTACTGAGGTGCCTCGGGGCTGCCGGCCGCCCCCAGTAGACCCCGCAGGCTCGGCGTGCCGGCGGCGGCGGCTGCGCGGAGCTGGGGTGGACCGTGGGCTGGCCTGCGGCTGGGGCGGACCGTGGGCTGTGGTGGTTGCGCGGTGGCCTGAAGAGCAACCGGCCGACGCGGACTGGGTGGGCGGCGGCCGCAGGGACAGGACCGGAGGGTGTGTCAGATCCAGCAGCTGGACCATGGGGATGCGGCTCGTGCTGCTGGCCGCTGCTGCTGGACTCGTCAGCGGTATCACCGACAATGGTGAGTACTGGGTATCATCGGTATCACCGACAATGGTGCGTACTGGATATCAGCTATAACACTGACAATGGTAAGTGCCGGCCATCAGCAGTATCACAGACAATGGTGAGTACTGGGTATCAGCGGTATCGCCGACAATGGTGAATGCCAAGTATCAGCTGTATCGCCGACAATGGTAAGTGCTGAGTACTGAGTATCAGCGGCATCACCAACGGGTATCAGATGTATCACCGGCAATGGTGAGTGTTGGGTATCATCGGTATCATTTCGACATTTCTGCTGCTGATAACTGATGGTACAGGGACCCGCAGTTGTTACTGTACACATATATTACCAATTTAGAATTGTGTTATTATTTGCTAAGTGCTGGCCATTGGAGAAAAGAAATGTAGCGCAAAGTATGGAGGAATAACACATGTTTGCTTCTAGGACGAATGTTTTGCATAATTCCTCTTACCGCAACAGATATTCTTCCAAAACTACAATCATGCTATTTTTCTGTGCCGGTTGCCTCCCCAGAGTCCGTCCTTGGTATCGCCACTAGCTCCCGCTCCCGCTACGTGAATGAAAGTCACGTGACTACTACACGTTTGCGCTCAGTACTAACACACCTAGCCCGAGGGCCGGTCCGTAGCGGGGAGGGGCAGAACGCCAGAGCTCCAGCGCAGTGGAGGTGGTGGTGGCCCGTATCATAAAAAGGCAGCCGTAAGCAGAACTACAATTGCCGCAGTATGAGATTGTGATAAAGTTTTCTTTAAATGTATTGATTAACAAGAAAGTGCAACGCTTTTACGATATAATAAAACGGTGTCCAAGGTCTTGGAAGAACTGTAAAACATATGCAGGAACGTATAAATTTCTGATACAGGCCATGACCTTTCACCTTGCCTCCGGGGAGGACCGCTCAGGAAGCCACATACTGAACGAATCGAGGCCTCGCAGCGCGGCGGCAGACGAGGTGGATAAACCATTGCCGCCTGATCTTTCGAATACTTATGTTTCCAGAAGAAGGATAGGGGGGAGGGCTGTTTTCAACACACTCACAATCCTTTCCTTATTTAGTTGTAGCTTACCGAAAAGATGCAACACAATGGTGGCCGTCACGAGATGTAGCGAATAGTGCCTCAGCCACACCGGTTTTAAGTAAACCTTAAAGGGACCCTCCCACCTTAACATTAGTTTTGAGTTGAGATAGCCAAGTTTGCGGCCAGGCTCAGAAACCACCATTTATCCTGGTCGCAGCCCCCGCAGCTTTATGGTGTTCAAGAAATTTCTTCCCTTTACTTGCAGGGTGGGACCAGCGTGGTCCCTATCTCTTAACCATTACGGGAATCTGATGACGTCATCAGGCTTTCGAACGTCAGTTAAATGTTTGACTAAAACGTTTTGAAGCACGCGGTGGTATATGCTGCTTTGCGCGCAACAAATGCCGCACTTTCAAATAAAGTCGCTAGGAACAGCGGAGATCCCAAAAAGTAAACAAAAGTAAAAGTCTAATATCTTGAAAACCGGTGAATATTTTTCGATGAAATTTGGTAGATATTCGTTTTTGCTCTTTCTGAGCCGAGCGACATCACTTTCATGCCAATTCATTAACTTTTTTGAAGGTGGGAGGGTCCCTTTAAGTATTGGAATTCAGGCCAGTGATCCTGAAGCAGTATTTTATTTTTGTCGTGCATAAGGTGGGATCACGTGGGCAAAGTTAATTGCAAAGAAACGGTTTTAGTTTCAGAACATTTCTGAGGCTAATCGCGCCAAATAGTATACGTTTATTGCAAAATGTCAAATAGAATGTTGACGTGCTATCCAGATGATGGAATTTATACCGACACAAGAAGTCAAAAAGTGGCATCGTGAGTCATGTTGCATACCTATAAATCGATTCGTCAGCTCGGTTCGAGCTCAAGAGTTCATTCGCAGATGATCGTTTTTTTTTTTACAGTTTATGAGCCAGCAACCACCCTCCCCAGTCCCCCCTCCCCCAACAACAACAATTGTTGACAAATACTCAAATACTTTGATGTGATGGCCTAAAATGCCCTCAATTGTGTTACGTATTTGGGCTCTCAACTTTGATTAAGTTCTTTTATGAATGGATGGTCGCATGAATGAACGAATGAAAAGCTCTACATCATTTGAGCGTCAGAGGAAATCAATCCTAAAATTTAATCTACCAGTCTGCAACGGGAAGGTTTAAAAACGGCAGTGCAAGTTAAGCGTTGTTTCTAATCTATGCCGTTTTTTTTATTAAGTGTCTCATAGCTCCTCAATCTTGAGCCGCTTCTCTCACGATGATTCATTATATATGATGCTTACATTATTCAAGAAGTTGTTGTTTTCGAGCTCGTTGGTCTTAAAAACTGCTATCGAAGTAACTTAAAGTGTTTCGGCACTTAAAAAACAATCGACATTTAAACCTCACCAATCTAGGCATTTTTCAGCGTCTAACATGTAGCGGAGGGGCGTAGAAACATTCAGTTGTTCGGCCCTTGATAATAGGGCCAGAGCTTCGCTGAAAAAAAAACGAAAAAAGAGCGTGCTGCTCGTGACAAGAGAAATCCAATGATTTTAGGGTCCTGGTCATCGCTGACGAGAGAAAGCCAATTATCTTTATGTCCTGGTCAATGTTGAGATCCTAGGTGGACCTCCCAGATCAGGTTAATAGGTAACCCAAAAGCACGGAAAATTGGGTCCTGCTAGAATTTCTCCAAGTGAAGTTTGCTGAGACTTGGCTTGCTCCTGACTTCGAATTTGCACTTGCTTTGTTCAAAGATGATGTATCAAAGCATTTCGGGTAGGACGGGTGGGTCACGCCAGATCATCCATTAGGCCGTAGGCGTTCTGCCAGCTATCCATAGAATGTTAACCAGCACTAACAGCCTTGCAACATGTTGCATAAGCACTATAACTGATACCAAACTATACCTAGTTTTCAAATGCTAAAATGGATGCTAAAATTCAAACCAACGTCCAACATTACCTAAAAACCACAGTAAAAAGATGTAAGTTTAAGGAAGTTAACCGAGATCATTTCAAGTAAACGACCTTAATCTGAGTTTCACTTGACCTTGGCACCCACAACAATCTTGAGACAAACATTAAATATTATATTTCACATGTTGTCACGTCCCTAATCACGAAAAGACTGGAAACACACAGAAGATGTGCGCTGACTGACTTTCAATCGCTCTTCTGGCCTGACATGATCTTGAGAAAAAACTAATCACAGGTCAATGGTAATTTGGTTCAGGGATTTCAAATTCTCGGGGAAGGTGCAAAATAATAAGGGCTATTTACTTTTCCGGGAAGCTGTAAAATTAACTATCTCCAGGGCACCAAAGAATCGTCGCAATCCTTAGCTTTTACGCGATTTAGGTATTCGTGAAAAACAGAGGGCGGGGTCTACTTAACTCTATTTGTAGGTATGTGTGGTGAGGGTTACTATTCATTTTATCTGTGTTGATGAATGAGCGACAATTTCTACATGAACTGAGACCAGTCCACTTGAGTATGTTTTTCTCACGGACAATGACAATACAATAACAATGCGAAAAATCAGACGTTTCGGACAACAACGTGCCTTCGTCAGTGGAGAAAAATAAGTGTAGGTTTAACATCGATTATTAATGTATGCGGCACCGTCTCGGTCTGGCCAGCCGGGTTGCCGATAAAATACACAAATGTTTATATGCTTCCATGATGTGCTCAAAAAACTGCTGAAAATAGATCTGAAAAAAGATAACTACTTCATCGATTTTATCGAGAGATAACACCTAAACCTATTATAGTGACTTATTTCTTGCCACTGACGAAGGCACTTTGTTGTGCGAAACGTCTGGTTTTATTCGTATTGTTATTGTATTGTCATTCCCTGTAAGAAAAAGCATAACGCTTCAGTTCTAACCATAAGAGTGAAGCGGCTTAATGTAACACTTCACTGTGTATACGAAACCCCTAAGTCCCTAAAAATAATCCTATTTACCTACAGCTTTTAAAAAGATACAGCTTATACAGCTTACTGCTTAGGCATACAATTTTTCTGCAACAAGACAATATTCATTTATCTCCACAGAATTTGTTAAAATAGTGCTGCTGAAGTTCGCTTTCGAAGCGTCTCCTCTACGAATACCACAGCTCTCGAGTGCCATTTTGGATCACGGAACATGGCTGGGCGCGGGACAGGTCGTGTGCGAGCTTGGACGGACCACGTGACTACCTCCTGCCCTCCCCTTCATTCCCGTCCCCTTCCCCATCAGGGCCTCCGATCTAACCGCGCCCCAGGCAGTCGGCTCGGTCCGACCTTCTCTGGTCGAGCCCCGGTGCCGCCTGCGTTTGTGCCGGGTGCAAAACTGGAGCAGTTTCTAGCGCCGGAACTAGTAATCAGCACGACCATCGTCAGATGGCAGGAGTGAATGGAATAAGCGGTTCCAGGTTTTAGAAGGAATGGGGCAGGAAGAAGCGCTGAAAACAAGGTTTTGCTGATACAGCCATAAAACGTTCATTGAATTAGGAGAGCAGCACATCAGTTTTAAGCCCTTCAGATGATGGTTTCAATAAGCACACAATCATTTCCCAATTCGCCTTCAACGGTGTCACAGGCCAAGAATACGCTGAAATACTAGTGTGTACAGAAGCAACTGCGGGTCCCTGTACCCGTGCAATGGCATGATTTGTCAGACCAGCAATACCGACCGGGCCGGCCATGGTGCGTTTTAATTATGGGCAGTAGGTACAGCTGACGGGAGTGAATATTGACTTGATCGTTCAAAACGATTGATAATGCTAAAGCTGCCGTTTGTCTCCGACCGAAGCGTCATATTCGATGTTGTTTACCATGCAGTTAAGCCGGAAAGGTCCTTCGATGATCAGTCTGTTTCCATGTGCGCTGAGCTATAACTACGATACAAAACTACGCTAGGTCATTTCAGAAATCGAGAGGTTGCTGGCTGATCAGGTCCTGTTCTCGAACACAGTTGTGCCTTCGGGACGCTTTCCACAGT